CCCCCCCGATATTCGATTTGATAGCAAGGACATCATCAGATTTTCACACCCATATAATAAAAGTCATAATACAAACAGTCTTTGACATCCCTGTTTAATTTACGCTCTTGTCCATTTTTAACCGTATCTAACGGTAGTCCGTCCTAGTGGGAGTGCTGCCATTTTATTCAACAGAGTGCGCCGCCCGAACAAGCGACGGAATCATCTGATTCATCAAACAAAGAGACACCGATTCAGTGAACATTTGTAAGATGCCCCACTGGTACCCCAAAAACGACCATTGCGGATCAACACAAACGCCAGTGGTCATCCCATCAGGTTTGTATTCTTCATCTCAAAAACCCAACTCTGTTCTATCCATCCAGCCCCCCAACACTCTCTATCACCACTCTACAGCAATAGACTCAGCATCACATCGACCGAGGAACATAAATATGTCTGGTAGGGACCCTGGAATATCCTACGACTCTTCCCCTGACACCAAAAAAATGCCTGTTGTCCTGTGCCCCAAGTGCACTACGACTGAGAAGCAAGTTTGGGTCATGCCTGGTCACTCCTGTCCCTACTGCGGCAACGCGGTAAGTGGATGAAACTTTGAGTTCCTCCAATAAGATGCTGATGCTGTATGTAGATTCGTGTCTCTAAGAACTCAACCGTCTCGACTTTCAATATGGTTGAGCGATAGCCCGGAATTGCGGTCATCGATGGGCTTCCACTTTTGATAATTAGGGGACGGTTGGCTCTTAGGGGAATACCTGGAGTTGTTGGATTTGAAAGGCGGAGTCAGTATCCGGCGACCAGTGACATAGGGTTCGTGCCAAAAAAGAACAGTTCATTCGCAGCAGGATTCGAACCCGCGAGCAAAAACGAAGAGTGGCCGAGGGAGGAAGGTTCTTAGGAGCGGAGTTTAGGTTCTATAGGGGTTTTAGGTAGATACCACTCGACCACTCTTCGCTGAAGGGTAGAATGTAACTTCGGTATATAACCTCTGCCCTGGGTGTGCTTCTCGCAGCAGTGCTCGTGTGCCACTCTTGGTGTGCCCAGGCGCTGTGATAATCTGTGCAACTGTCACCCAGTGACCAGCCTCGTTGGTTAAACCTTGCTGCTAACCACAGGCTCTGGACTCTCGTTGGAGATTGCCTCCAAGTGACCAAGCTTCGCTAGGTCTTCATCTTACCACTGCGAAGGCTGATCCTCTTCCGTCTTGTCAACTCTTCTGCCGCTTGTTTGTTGCCGGGCTCACTCACATTTTCGATCTCTTCCATTTTTTACTCGAGCTAAGATCAACCACTGCTAGGCGACAGGCTCTGAAGGCCAGGCCCATGCATATCCCTCATCGCTACGCGCGGAGCCTGTATAATACAGCTTGTGAGTCCCTCGATGGCGCCCGTCGCGTCGGAATTCGTCTTCTCACAGGATAGCATCTCCATCAACGCGTCTAATTCCACAAATTTACCAACGACAAACCAGTCCGCCAGATCTCATGTTCGTGTTCTATCAAGGTATCATATCAATAGTTTTCGTTGGCGCCAATTGCCTCAGCCCGCCACGAAACGTTGCACAGGGATGAAATTGCGACATTGGGAGCACGCAATTCGCCCCGCGTCTGAGAGCATATTCTCACCACGATAACGAACTCGACAGGCATTTTTGCCCAAAACAAGTAATTCTCGATATCGCTATTGGTCCGGTAGATTTATCTGATTGGTATTTGAAAATTGCATTGCATGAATCCAAGGACTTGAAACTGCAGATCGGCGACTGTCGACAGATGCGCCTTGAGCATCTGAATGACAGGCAGTAAGACAAAGGACATAGGTACGAAGTGGTCGTGGTCTGTCTGGTATCTGATATAAAAGCTTAATTCTCGAAAAATTCCATATTCATTATCGGGATCCAGATCTGAGGTTCCCCGACGTCGGCCGTCGCATCAAAGTGTCGTCAAATCATGCAATACGCCAAGCAACCACTATCTCTCAATGTGCACATGGCACCCACGCCTAGTGTCACCCAGCCCGATAAAGAACGCATTTAGTCTCTCTAGATCCCAATTTTCGGATCCTTGCTTGCATTCGCATATGCTTTAAAGTCCCTGGCCCATCGCTTCAACCGTCCTCCATGATCCTTCATCTGCACATCTATCACAATGTCTGTCGCCAAACAAAAGAAGTGGTATCACATCCAGTGGTACTCTGATACAGATACCCCGGAGGAACGCAAGTTTATTATTAAGCTTGATCTTCTCATCGTCCCGTATGCTGTGATAGCTTATTGGGTGAAGTACATTGATCAGTCTAACCTGAGTATGTCTCTCTTCTCTTCTTTCCAGCATCTTAACTAACGTTCTGAAGACAATGCATACGTTGCGGGCCTCAAAGAGGATCTGGGCTTTAAAGGCAATGAACTCGTTCAACTACAAACTTTCTACATCATCGGCGCTGTCTTGGGCCAGATCCCCTTCTTCTTCCTTCTCACATATGTCCCCATTCACTGGTTGATCCCTGGCTTGGACGTTTGCTGGGGAATCTTCACACTTCTCCAATACCGAGTCAACAGCTTCGCCGAACTGGCAGCTTACAGATTCCTCGTCGGATGGTTTGAGGCAGCTTTCTTCCCAACCATGCACTACCTCTTTGGCTCATGGTACAGAGGCAACGAAATTGCTCGCCGCGGCGGTATCTTTTACGTCGGTCTGTCTCTCGGTACTCTGACTGCTGGCCTCATTCAGGCTGGTGCATCAGCTCGACTCGATGGTGTGAATGGATTGGAGGGTTGGCGATGGATGTACATCATTTGCGCGCTAATCACCATCCCGGTTGGTATTGCGGGATACTTTGTCATTCCAGGAACGCCTGATCAGCCGAATCGCCGCGTTCTGAACCAACATGATATCGATGTTGGTGAGCAGCGACTCAGACGAGCGGGTCACAGCAGCCATGGAAAGATGAAGCTGGGACACCTGAAAAAGGTCGTCTTGTCACCGCAATTCTGGGGTATCATTCTCGTCGACGTCTTGTTCTGGAATGCGGGAACTCACAGCAGCTCTGGCTCTTTTCTCTTATGGATTAAAAGTCTAAATCGTTATTCGAAGGCCAAGGTCAACGAATTGGGTACCATCGCACCAGCTCTTGGTATCTTCTACACTCTTCTCGTTTGTTTTGCATCAGATCTTGTGCTGGGGCCTGCATGGGCTATCACTGTCTCGACTGTCTGGAATGCTCTTGGTCTTATTATCCTCACCATCTGGAACGTCCCAGAATCAGCCCTCTGGTTCGCATATTCGACCATCTACGCCTCAGTCGCGTTGTCGAGTGTTCTTCATGGCTGGGTCAATACGCAGCTTCGAGCATCCCCAGCCGAACGGTCTTTCACGCTTGTCTTGATCAACGCGATCTCGCAGTCGACAACAGCCTGGACACCTTTGCTTGTCTTCCCGACTGTCGAAGGACCTCGATTCCCGAAAGGTTACCCATTTGCGTTGGGTTGTGCCATTGGTCTGCTAATTGCGACGCATGCCCTTCACTTGTGGCTGAAGCACCGAGAGTAAGTAAATATGATCCCAGACATGAACCATCAGCTAACATTTGACAGTCCTCAAGCTGAAGCCCCTACTCAGTTTTTGTCCGAGGAAACAGGCGATCTCTCTTCCGATACTGGATCTAAGACTGCGAACTCTAAAACAGCATCTGTCAACTAAGCGATGCGTGTTACTGTAAGAAATGTCGTACCATCGGACGTCTAGCTAGCATTCTGGATGCTAAGGTTTTGGAGACGATGAGACGTCGGCAACGAAAGAGCCTATTCTAGGGTGAATATGGCCCTAGAAAAAACTAATGACGTTCCCTAGAAATATCAGAAGATGTCGATAGCATAATAATCAAGGAAAATTGGTCATTTTACTTGCCAAATGCTGTTAGTTTGCTGCTTGAGTGCTCCCCTACCGGGTAGACAATACTGTAGCTGGGATGCTGGCCGTGACTCGTGATGATCGCCCTGTTGCACCCCCAAAACAGGGACTTAGTTGACTAACGACATTGGGGAAGCCGTTGGAACCCCTGTACACCATCAACTACCGGTGCAAAGCCCGATCGCTGATTTCTCGTGAGAAAAGGCAATCTTAGTGATAAATAGACATGCGATTATGAGATGCTCGTCACGTTTCATACTCTCTTAGCGGCGAGAGATTCCAGCATCTCTCGGAAGGATGTTGTTGCCCCTCAGCTTTTAATGCCGTAGCACCTTGGCCTCAGTTAGTGTAGTTATTCCCGAAGTCTTGATCCCAGAGTGCTGTGCCCCTCCAGCAGAATCGGGTCCGGCCGAGGGTTAATCATTCGGCCGTCAGGAACAATGACGTCGCACCACCGTCAAAAGAAAATTGAAGCATAATGTTCACCCTCCCATTTACTATTGAACATTGCCTGTGATAGTCTTATTTGGAAACTCCGCACCTCTCGTTCCGCTGGTCTGGCTTGGTAGACCGTGCTGTGAACATGCCGCGGAATTATCCCCGAGACAATCCCAGCCATCAGCAAAAACTTGATCGGCCAAGCAAGCTGAATTCTTGGTCGGTCCAACACAAGCTCTACGCTTTTATTCTTAGCTGAATCAAGGAACGATGTCATAGCGGCATTGCCCGGCACGTCGGCAAACATTTTTCTCTTAGAGACTTCCAGAGAATAGACTCCACTGATCAACCCTCTGCTGACGCTCACTCAACCTGGGAGATACCCCAACTTTGAGAAGCCAGTCGAAAAGCGGACACTCCGCAGATGCAAGCATCTCCACTGCAACAACAGATCACACGACAGATGCGAAAATGACTCGATGTCAAGACTTTGAAGTTCTAACGTAACATGAAAAGCATCGGAGCCGCATGCCGATGTTTGTTTAAACTGCTGCCTGTCGCTGAAGGATCCTTGTCACGAGAATAAAACGTGGGAATTACCACTCAACTCCAGGAAATCTCCGCTCGGGTCCAGTAAAATCTCAAAATGAGGCCTGCTGATTGGAGCGCATAAACGAAACATGGGGGAGTCTAAAATGTCTCCACCACCTCCAATTCTCAACCTGGGGCAACAAATTGTCGATGACACTGCTTTTTGGGATGCAACGGCATGAACAGCATTGGAGATCTGTACGATGAACAGGAATATTAGAGAAAAACCGATAAACGGGCCAGATAAGACCAGTTGGAATTTATTTGGCTTCATGAGGAACCAGCAAGAGTGATCTGCCCAGCATCTGGTATCGCGCTGAGATCATGTCCAAGTTTTGATCCAGAGCCTCACGGAAACAACTTGACAAACGGCCATGTTTCCGCCCCTCGCCCAAAGTAACCACGCTAATTAAAACGCTCTGACAATGAGCAAATACGGTTATCCGATGTGGATCTCACGTCTCATCCTCCACACAACCAGTCACTTGCAGCAAGTATAAATGCAACACTTGCCCACGAGATCATCGTCAGATTCCCAACCTCCAGCCTAATGCCAGATAGCAATCATGGAGCGCCTCCCAGGTTTCAATGTTGCGAACCACTTTGAGAAGCGTCAGCTTCTCATCGCTATTAATTGTGTTGCTGCTCTGTCGATCTTCTTCTTTGGGTATGACCTCATCATTTTCCCCAACTCCAATGGTTCAGTCTTTAGGCTAACAATTTCAGATATGACCAGGGAATGATGGGTGGTGTCAACAACTCTAAAGACTATATCGACTTGATGGGCTTTGGCTACGTTGACGAAAAGACCGGCGAACCTGTAATCACGGATAGTCTACTCCAAGGCGGCATCGTCTCAGTTTACTATCTCGGAACTCTCTTTGGCTGTCTCTTCGGAGGCTGGGTAGGAGATAAAGTTGGCCGTATCAAGACTATCGCTATTGGCGCAGCCTGGGCTATTGTTGGTGCAGCGCTGCAATGCTCAGCTCAAAACCACGACTGGATGATCTGCTCGCGCGCGGTCAACGGCATAGGTAATGCGCCTCTACTAAAGGGGACATCCAATCTTTTACAGTGTTACTGACAACAGGGTCTAGGAACCGGTATTCTCAACGCCATCGTGCCAGTGTGGGCTACCGAGACTGCTGAACATACCTCCCGAGGCCAGTTCATCGCAATCGAGTTCACCCTCAATATCTTCGGTGTGGTGGTGGCCTACTGGCTGGAGTTTGGCCTCTCGTACATTGACAACAATAATTCCGAGTTCGGCTGGCGTTTCCCCATCGCCTTCCAGATCCTGCCTCTCCTTGTCCTGCTAGGATGCGTCTGGTTCTTCCCCGAGTCTCCTCGTTGGCTTGTCAAAGTTGGCCGGGACGATGAAGCCCAGTACATCCTTCGTCGTCTGCGTGGGTCGAGTGAGGTGGACCTTTCCCGCGCTCACGCTGAGTATACCGACATCAAGAACATTGTTCAGCTTGAGAACAAGGAGTCTTCTAAGAACTCGTATTTACACATGTTCTTTGGCATTGGATCTGGCGAACTTCACACTGGTCGACGCGTCCAGCTAGTTATCTGGGTAAGTCCACATGCCACTGTCGAGCCGCGTAGCTAACATTTCCAGCTTCAAATCATGCAAGAATGGGTCGGCATCGCGGGCGTAACAGTATACGCACCTACAATTTTCAGGATAGCGGGTTTTGACACACGCAAATCCCAATGGATCAGTGGTCTCAACAACATCTTCTACATGTTTGCCACGCTAATCTGCGTCTATACCCTCGATCGCATTGGTCGAAGATGGACTCTTTACTGGGGTGCCGTCGGTCAAGGAATAGCCATGTTTCTCGCCGCTGGATTCTCCAAACTTGGTCAAGAGGCACGAAATGCCGGCGATCTTGACAAAGCTAGCTCATACGGTGCTGCAGCTGCCTCCTTCGTCTTCATTTTTACTTCGGTCTTTGGAGCTACATGGCTCACAGTTCCTTGGCTCTATCCCGCCGAGATCTTTCCTCTGCAAGTCAGAGCCAAGGGTAACGCATTCGGTGTCTTTGGCTGGTCCATCGGCAACGGATGGTTGACTCTCCTATGCCCTGTCATGTTTTCCGCCATTGGCGAGAACACGCTTCACATCTTTGGAGCCTGCAACATTATCGCGATCCCAATGGTCTGGGCCTTATATCCGGAGAGTAACCAACGAACTCTCGAAGAGATGGATCTGCTATTTGCGGCTGATACACCTTGGGTTTGGGATGCTGAGAAGAAGTTCAAGGAGCTCAAGGAGAAGCAGCCTGGGCTTGTTACTGCTTCTGCTCATAACAGGGATGTTATGGACGTCGAGCCTGGTGTCAAGGCTGGGTCTGGAGATGAGGTGAACATGAGTGCCTAAAGAATGAGATGCATGGCAGAGTGCTCTATTTCGGTCCTGTGGCTAAACTCTATCTTTGTAATGAATACAACTACTGTTCATAGCCCCATCAACCCTAACATGATGCATAAAAGCGATGTTGGGACAATCGAGATATTGACAATAGTTCCCTCACTTCTAGAATTTATAATTACTATTTTAGCACACCTTCCCAACCAATAAGATTCAGCCCCGTTGGCTCAGTGGTAAAGCGTATCACTAGTAACCTCACGAAATGATAAGATCACTGGTTCGATTCCAGTACGGGGCAATTGGTTTATCTTTTGCATATCTACCTAATATTCTTTTGTTACGGTGTCATGGAAACCTTGGTGATATTGAGGCCGCTGCTCTTTTTGCCTTGCTTGCTTGTACTCTTTTGTACAGAACGTTATTATATTTTCATCTTCTACCTTGATGGATCCTCACATGGAACCAGCGTCTACAGTTCAGGTGGTGGCTTGAATTGCATCAGGTCAATCCCAAAACTCGTGCCCGGTCCCTTCATGTGTTTAATCCCCCGACACCACTCAAGTTCCCTCTTCATACCGCGGCCTGCAAAATAGCCCAGCAATGTGGCTTGAGCAGTACATGTTATCTGGGGACCGAACGTGCCATTCTCCCTCCGATAGCAATACTCGACACTTTGGCAAAGCATACGCGCAATATGATCAGCGTCTGCTTGATTCGGCGAGCCCTTCTCCTTATAGGATTCGCCAAGAGGTGATGGGACAGCCGAGCTTCCAAGGCTTCCACGAAGAAGCAGGATTGTTTCAAGGATGTCCAACATGATGCTGGAGCCGAGGATCCACGGACTAGCTGCCTCCACAGACGAGAAGATCAGAGCGAACGGAAATAGCTTATCTGGATATCCATCGTCTGCTGGATTACTCGCTCTAGAGGGGACGGACCAGAACATCGGTGTTTGGTTGCGTGCTGCTATGTTGCGATGCACAAGGGCTCGCCAGTCATCAAGAAGGCGGAACTTTTCAGTCAGCAGATTGACGTATCTTAGTACTTTGTCATGATCTTTCTCGTTGCTCAAAGCCAAGGTGTGAGCTTCCGCCATGACGGACGGGATATCGATGGTCATGTCGAGCAGTGCCCCGAAGGACTCTGGGGCAGCCCATGGGCCAATGTGTTTTCGCCAAAGGTTGGGTTCAAGATTGAGAGGCTTTTTCTGTGATAGGGCTTGGATGACCTGTGATAGTTAGCATTTACTCCAGGAATGCTCGGGGAACTGGTCCTACACATATCACGCAGAGACGCCGGCACAAGTCATTCCAGCTTGAAGTGTTTGAGTCGGGTACGGCTCGATGACGAAGGATCTCAGATACGCCTTGCGCGTGGGCGTTCCAGCTTGTGCTGGCGTGGAACAGGAAGAGCTGTGCACCGTAGCTCGGTTACTAAGACTCTGCAACGGTTTAATAATCTTTGACCTACCTCACACGTGGAAAGAATAACAATAGCGGCAAGGCTTTCATCATTATTACCGATGCACGGACAGTCAAGAACATGGATGACCTTAGACAGTGCATGGTTGTATAGCTCAATGGCCTCGTCATAAGAAACGCCCACTTCACCAGACAGCCTGATCTGAATCGCAACAAATGCAACAAGTGAGTGGTCAAGAGCCTCGCTAGGGCCTTCCATGTTACACACAGCCTTTAGCCATGACGACGGCGTTGAACTGTGATCCTCTTCGCTCGTCGTATACCGTCCTTGGGGAAAATAAACGGTAACCGCGATTGAAAGCGCTTGTGATCGAAAAGTTGGCACATCGTATATCTCTTTCGAGTTAATTTGGCAACGCATCCGTTGTAACACGCTCAACCAGTTTGTCTGCTGCTGCGACTGTATAACTGAGAGAGCGGAAACATTGGGCTGCGTTGGAGTCCGATGGACCCATAGGGTAGGTTGATTGCGGACACCCCGACAAATAATACCGGCCTTGGTGCAACGCTGACACCGAGGCGACGTCAGATCACACTGAAACTCTTTAGTAATGAATGATTGTCGAAAGGGAAGTGAGTCAGACCTTGACGCGACGTCGTTTGCAATCAGCGCATGCCTTGGATCTGGAAACACCAACCATGCTTATTAACAAGGCTGAACAAAGGACATGATCTCAAAGTTTTCGGTCGAGGGATACGCTAGACTATATGTAGTACCATACCTCGAGAGCCTCGACAGGGATTTGTCTTGTAAAAACCACCTATAACGTGGTTTGAAAGGAAAGTTTGAGGAACTGAAGGGAAACGCAGCGGAGAGATGTCAGCTCGCGTTTTAGCGGGTATCCAAGGGTCAAAAGCCGAGAATCTAAACTACATCAGGCAGTATCCTTCGAGATAACCGACAGGGAACAAAGCTTAGCGTTAAGACCGAACACTCTCCGATGAAGCTATCCTTGATTCGGAACCATCTCGCGAGAATTGGCCAAGGGTCGAATTTGTAAGATAACGAGCATGAGGTAGATCATTGTGAATCGAAACAGCTATATAATATCCGGTCTTAACATGCAGAATATTTCCCATATCAAGTCACAGTTCTACCAACTCATAGCACCTCACACTTGGCCACCAGCCTCCAAATCGCAGCAATGGCCGCCTTAGAACCAAGCCGTCATCAATCCCTCTCTTCCCCCGCCTCTGACGACGATCGCCCTTCCCAAATCGAGCAGTATAGCGAAAAAGCCCCCTCACAGCAAGAAGGGACGTCGGCACCAGATTTTGGTCCTCCGCCTGATGGAGGGTTACAAGCCTGGCTAGTTGTTACTGGAGGCTTTTTCGCCGTGTTTGCTAGTTTCGGGTGGATTAACTGTACGTGACTCTCACTCATTCATAGTGGACGGGCGCTAACAAATGATTAGGTATCGGCATATTCCAAGATTACTACGAACAGAATCAGCTTAAATCGTATTCCTCTAGCGATGTAGCATGGATATCGTCTATCGAGTCATTCATGCTCTTTTTCTGGGTTCGTCCGACCTCTGCCGTTTGTCAGATCTCACTAACAATTCACAGGGCCCAGTCGTTGGCTACATGACAGATAATTACGGCCCTCGTATTCCCATCCTCATCGGCTCGTTCCTCCATGTCTTTGGTCTAATGATGACATCCCTATCGAAGAAGTATTACCAGATCATTCTATCTCAAAGTATCTGTAGTGCATTGGGCTGTTCATTTCTCTTCTACGCGCGTCAGTATCCCTCCCTCAGATCTCAACCACACTACTGACGATACCCAGCTATCGCCGCTGCTGGAACATGGTTCAAGCGTCACCGTGCGATCGCCTTCGGAATAATCACCGCTGGATCTAGTCTCGGTGGTGTCGTCCTCCCGATCATGGTGAATAAGCTTGTCGTCCAAGTAGGCTTCGGTTGGGCGATGCGATCCGTGGCATTCCTTTTCTTGGGACTGCTGGTCATTGCCAACGTTACCATCAAATCGAGACTGCCACCCCCGCGAAGAAAGTTCGACATCAAAGACTTCATCACTCCTTTCAAGGAGATGCCATTCCTTCTTTTGACTGTCGCTGGATTCATGCTTTACCTTGGCTCCTTCTTGCCGTTCAACTTCATCATTGTCCAAGCGAAAGAGCTCGGTGTGTCGGATAGCCTGGCTCAATATCTGGTATCCATCGTCAATGCCGCTTCGTAAGTCACTCTCCCACAACCATTTTGACAACAGCTGACAAAACAGCACCTTTGGCCGTCTTGTTCCCGCATATTTCGGCGATCGCATCGGCGTCTTCAACGTCATGATCCCTTTGACCCTACTTGGAGGCATCTTTACTCTCACAGTATGGCTCACTGCACACTCCACAGCTTCGGTCATTGCCTATGCTGCTCTGTATGGATTCGCGTCTGGCTGCACTTTATCTATCGTACCGGCCATGGTTGCCAGTTTCTCAGATGTTCGCAGCATAGGAACCCGCAACGGCGCACTCTACGGTGTGGCGGCTATTGGTGTCCTTATTGGAAGCCCAGTCGCCGGAGCGATTGTCAGCGCAGAGAATGGAAATTTCTCAGGACTGATAATCTTTTGCGGTGTTACGATTCTGGCCGGTGCCGTGTTTGCTATCATGTCGAGACAGGCGTTGACCGGGGGTCAGTGGGTGAAGAAAGTTTAGTGTATATCGGACACCTTCATCACTTTCCTACGAGGCAGTTGGACCTTTTGACCAGACTGCAGAGAGACGAACGTGAGTAGATTATGTGTATAATACTTCAAAATAGACAGGGAATCAGGCGACCCTTGATACGGGAAAGATGCCATTAATCAGTACAAAGAAACTTTCGCCTGGGAATTTGAGTTTGTTGTGCCCTGTCCACGAAGTTTTCCAATAAGGTTTGCTATCTGTGGACAGCTTCACAACCTCCATGTCTAACAATTAGTGGACCATCGCCTCTCAACAATTATTCATGGACTTGACCGATGACTACCACCATGGCCGAGCCAGCCCATAAAGGGATTCTCAGAGACGAGACGATCATGCTTCGCTGGATATTTGGCTATTCTCACGGTGCGAAATTGCTTGATGGCGCGAGCTGGCCCGACATACCTCAAACATCTGTACCACGCAGGCTTAATTCCAACATCAAGGACCTAGGATTTCTCAGCATTGATGTTGACCAATTCAGGGTGGAAAATGGTGTAATACAACGAGTCGAGATTGGTTTGTCTTTCCTGAAAGCACGAGCTCTACAACAATTACACTGCAAAACTATGCAAGGTGGCAACTTGGCATCGCGCTTTATCAAATCTCACCATTTGGTGTTTGGTCCCAAGAAAGAATTCCATGGGAGATCGCACCTCTTTTCATTTGGAAATGCAAGGCCGATTAAGTTGTGGGATGTAGGAGCCGTGCTCGAACGGTTGACTAGGAAGCCTTATGTTCTTGTTGTCCACGGGGCAAAGCAGGAGCTCTCACTGCTCTCACTGCTGAACATAAAGCTTGAACCCGTTTTCATTATCGACACTGTCAAGGCAGCTCAGTATCCACTACAGCTTTGGTACAGATACAGTCTGAAGCAGCTGCTGGAGGAGTTTAAGATACCATACTCGCATCTTCATGTAGCGGGAAATGATGCACACCTCACACTCCGAGTGCTTCTCATGTTAGCCGTCAAAGACGCTGAGAATAACCTGTCAGGGACGCGTCTGCCTGATTGGGTTCCGATCTTCAAAGCTGTTGCTCAGTCTCCGTTGCCCCCGAGACCCCCAACCAAGCGAGAAAGAGCGGCCATGGCTGAAGCAGAAGCTGAACGACAGATGAATGGCGATCGAAGCGAAGGAAACACGGCTATGGACGGCAGCGAATGATTGAGATCAGTTGATTTGCTAGGAAACAAACAACTAAACAGCACGCTGGACTTCTCTGTAAGAGGTCCTTGGTCCTTGGATCAATGTTCAAGACAGAGAGGGACCCGGACTTTTTTCGTCGCAAACCTCATGGAAAGTATTCCTACTTGGGATGCTTTGCCAAAGGACATTGAATCAAAAGGTGCACAGAATTCTCTCCAGAAGGAATTCATGTCTATTTAGTTCAATTTAGTCCAGCTTTTATCGTGCCCATCAAACGCCATTCAGCTATGCATCTAAATCTTACTATATCAATTTCGTAGTTACTTTTCCCAATTCTTCCCGTCCCCTGTTCTATTAGTACCTGAAGAGCCTTGAAAGCTTCAGTCTCTATCATTCAGGAGAGGTTCGCCTTCGCTGCCCTGGTTCTGAACTTCGCCCTGCTCTTCATGCTTCTCAATCAGTGTGCTTCCCGGAGGCGGGAAGTTGGAGAATAAGAGAACCATCATGGCTAATAAAGCAATGGCCTATCACCTGATTAGCTGTAATCACTAAATTATTGTACAACAGTAACTCACCGCATTGCAGAAGAATGTTGCATATGCTTTGCCAACCTCAGCCAAACTGGCAAAGATGAAGCCAAACAAGCCTTGAGTGGCTAGTCGTGCTACGTTCTCGACCAGGGTCACGGCGTTGAGTGCATCAGCGCGCTGCGAGTCGGGACACATCTGTGTAATGACACCTTTTGCTGCTGGCGCTGATCCGGAGCCGAACGGGAGAAGAAAGGCAGCTGTCCTGTCAGAGCAGTGTTCGGTAGGGGACTGCAAAAACTTACCAAGGTAGATATGCCACGGCTTAGTTGCGAATGCAGCAACTGTAGTAAGCAGACCATCGACTAATAAACTCCATCTGAGAAACACAAGATCAAACAGACACCCTTCGTCCTCTTTGTTGCGGCTGACTGCCTCGTACGGTTCATGATCAGCCTGCTCTCCCAAAGTAGCATCAAACTCCCCAGCTTCCGTCGGAATATGCCCTGGTTCCGCTTCATCGTCGCTGTTAGGTTCAGATCTGATAACACGACCTCGGCCCCAAGCGATGATCCTTGGGAACAGTAGAATCAGGAAGAAACTCCTCATGAACGCAAACTCAGACATGAGCCAGCCGTTATCACCCTGGCTAAAGTTGAACGCCGCTGTCGCATACATCTGAATAAGAAGAGGTGCATAACCAGTGGCAAGAACGGAAACGAATATGCCACTGCAGAGGAAGATGACGCCGAAATGCTTCTTGACTCTACCGTCCGCGAGGCGAAGTTTCTGTGGTGTGAGAATCTTGAGGGGCGCGAGAAAACCAGAGACTCCTTTTTGACCGTTCTTTCCGCCATTGGACATTGAATCGGGCGAGATATATGGCAAAGCGAGCCAGACGTAAATACCTGCGAGTATAAAGGAGACGAACGCAACATCGAAAGGAGCCCGGATATCGATCGCGTCACCTATCATACCACCACTCAAATATCCAATCGCCTGGCCTAACATGATTGCGCCTTGTAGCTGTCCAAATACTGCTGTCCGTCGGATGGGTTCAACAACCTCTCCAGCAATGACGTTGACAACAAGACTAAAGCCAATGTTAGCATCTGGGGAACGGGAGTGTATGGCGGACTTACATGTACCCAGCTGGCCCGCCCAGAATTGTGATCAATTGAGTCGCTTGGATGATGATCATTCCCTTTTCTCCACCTGCCACGACTCCCAAGATTTGTGTGACCACGCGAAAAGCCGGGATGAGAATCTGACACAAAAGTGCCGCTCGGGGGCCGAACTTTTTCGATGTCCAGCCAGCGACAAAAAGGTTCAACGTTCCTTAAAAGAGTCAGTGTCGCTTCTGATATTTGAGTTGCAATGACTTGACTTACCGCAAAAAGTTGTAGACATGCCAAGGATACTGTATTGGGTTGCCGTTCCAGCCGCAATCTCGTCCCGACTGCACCTATCGCCCGGACCATTGTAAGGAGGATGCGTCTCATAAAACGAATCACAAGTCATTAAATGAAAGACATAAAATAATCTATAAATCATTAGGCTTATGGCTGGTAAATTGACAAAAAGTACTCACGGGACTTGGGTAAAACTGAATGATAACGTGATAAGAAACCCCGCAAGCAAAATGCGATTCTCGACATTGAAAGCTCTTGATAACCAGTTTCTCACTCGTCCTTTAGCTTCCCCTTTTTGGGGGAGAAGTGGTGTTGTCTCGTCACTCGCCATTTTGGAGTAAAAATACAATGCCAAGTTTAAAAAGAACGAGGCGAAAAAATCTTTGATGATAAATACAATTGCGAGATCGCTGTCAATCATTCGGTGAGAGGGGGGGATGGATCTCTTTCTTGATGGGGAATAGCGTCGTTAATCGACCGGGATTACTCGGTTATAGCTGTTATCAACTGATGTTATCTCCTCCGGGCTACTCTTCATCCATTCATTCATCTGATAATGTATTTCCAAATCTTAGCGAGATAGACCCGGGCAACTTGGCAAAGGTAACGCATCGGCTTTTCGCTGTAGATGTTAAACTTTGGCCAAGCACATGACCTGTAGCTTGCGCCCCATATTTATTCTTTAGAATCTCGACTTCGCAATAGCATCCCGTCATCAACAAACAACATGGAGTATGCCACTGACAATCGCGTGCTCAAGTTCTTGAGCGATTTAAAAAAGTCCAAGATCACTCTCGTGGAATGGGAGACTCCTCTACTAGAGCGCTTGGGGTACCCTCTTGCACCCAAAGCAGTATGTAAACGTACCAAGTCATTTGACAACGCTGACTTTTGATAACAGGATCTACTGTTCTTGATCCCCGACAAGCAAATAGAAGCTGCCAGACATATCGCCGAAGCAAATGGACTGAAAGATAACGACCGACCTCCAAGCTATATGGCTGAACATGCACGCAAGTGCTTTCGCTATGTCTTTGGAGAGTCGAGTCACAGATTCATCCTGGTGCCCATGTCCTGGACTGGGATTCAACAAAAGGAGCTGGTAGCTTTAAACTCGCCTACGCTTCCATGCCCTTTATGGACGATGCCTGTCCCTGCCTTTTGCGCTGCCTACTTGCGAATCATTATGCAAGAGCATGCTGGGAGTACCGTTCGTTTGATGGCAAATGCAGATCTGGCAAGCGTCATCGGCTACAGCATGTTCGATATGAGCTACGAGGGGGACTATATGCCTACGCCAGAGGACTTGGAGCATCTAGATGCAGCCAAAAAAGAAAGGATGGCTGAAAAGGATGCTTTGGAGATGAGAAATGCTCTTAGTAGCATAAAGCAATGGCAATTCACAGAAGAGACGGAGTGGGCAAGAGACATGATGCTTCAGTTAGTATCTGGGAAGCTGTCGTATGAGGATTTACCGACAAGCAGTAGATTAAAATTTTGATTAAAGCCAAAGGCGGAGAACAGCAGAATTAAATTTGTCCCACTCAAGGCCCCCGTGATGGAGCCTCTTCTGAACTCTCAAACTTATCACAGCAAGCCTTTTTCAAACCTTACACCTTATTGCGGAGGAGACTTATAAGTGAAGTTTAATTTTAAGCGCTCTAAGCTCTCTGTATTAGATTTAGCTCTCAACCCCAAGTCTCAACAGAAAATGACACATCTGACTCACAATTTAGGTAGACATTAGTGGCTAACCATTTGATACACCATGGACAGAAGGCAGGAACTCTCAGGTCAGGACCTCTACCCTAAGTTACACAAAACTCAGGGGAATTTAGCATATTTTAGTCGAATCTTACCCTGAATTACATAAAGCTGATGTGAATTCAGTGTATTTAGTCGAACCTTTGCACTAACTTATTCTGATATCTTGTCCTAAAGTTGTACGTTTTATTATACATCCCTCTTTACATGGCTCCGCTCCTAGCCAACATGAAGGGGGCTGCCCAAGCTTTCTCACGCATTCTCACAGACAACAACGTCGAGCATGCCTTCATCGGTGGTTTTGCCTTGAATTTATTAGGCAGCAATCGAGAAACTCTCGATATCGATGTTGAGGTTGCCATGGACGATGCCAATCCGGAAGAGTTCCGGGGTCACCTTACCCAACTCCTTCGTAATGCCGACCAACGATTTGTTGTTTCGAACCTCAAGCTATATTTTGTTCCAAATGGCCAGTGGGACTAGCGAGTCCCCATCGAAACACTTGTCCGCGGCATGCTTGGCCTGCCTCGCCGACTTTCGACCCTCCGCCCGGGAGATGGTAAGTACAAGACCTTAAAGCTGAAAGCCCGTTATCCTAGGCGAGACACATTCCTCCGCCTAGCTTGACCTCAATCGCTTGGCCTGCTGTAGCCGACTTGCCTCTGGCCACCCTGCTGGGGCCTCGCTATGCAGAGGGCAAACCATCAGTCACCTGTGGCTTTGGAAAGACCCTCTTCCGGTCGGTCAGTCAGTCAGCCGGCTGACCGGTGCTTTAACCTGCGGCTTTGCATAATCACTTAATTCCGCGCTGTCTGTTCTACATCTAACCTTGATTTTCTTTTAGGTTCGATCCCTATCCTCCACCCGAGCGTTCTCGTTCTCACTAAGTTGAAGCGCTCATCGCAGTACATTGGCAGTACACGCCCTCAGTCTGTGGTCAAGCTCTATTCTGACGTCCGCGATATCGTGTACCTACTCCACTGGCTCCAAGATCACTACATGAAGATTGACTTCATCAATTACGACTCGGTCACGCCTGAGAGACTATACGATGCTGTCCGAAACATGCGCGCTCATTGGGTTTCCATGGGTGAAAACGACCAAGTCAAGATGCTGGATGATGTCCTCCAGGAGAGCGACAAGGCAATTGTCATGAACAACTAGAATTCCAGGGACATTTATCGAGACGACGTAATTACTAAAAGAAATAGAAAAGTCATAAAACTTAGTGCTTTGCTTATAATTGATTCCTTGCAAATTATATATTAAGCTGAGGCTAACGTAAGCTATCTGACCAGCCAGCACTGCAATATGGAAAATCCATCACGCACCATCTGGGTCTAAGATAGTTAATCCGCAGCTTATATCTGTTCCACCCGTCCCCATCTAACATATCATCAACACACTTGCGAATATCCGATACCTCTTGAAGCTTAGGACAAGTCTCCAAGAGACCCTCGACTTCGTCCCTCTCTAGAGCGTCACTCCACGATAAGCCCACGGAACCCAAATTTCTCACCGGCTTCAAGTTCTCGAAGACATCCTTGTTCAGAAGGTCGTCTGAATCGAGCCACATAGTCTCCAGTGTCATCCTACATGCGTATAGGAACCTAGCCAGAGCCCGATCCCTGTCTGCTCCCGTTTCCTCCAGAAAGTAACTGTTGAATTCTTCATCCTCATCACCGTCTGCGATAAATGTTCTCAGATGTGATAGGCTAGACATGGCGTCCATATCTTCGACATATAGAGGGAAAGGGTTGCCCAATCTCAAATGCTCCAATACTTGCATGTTGGGAAGGAACCGGCTTAGGACACTATCGGCATACAAACCCTTCAGGTACAACACTTTGAGTGTCGAGCCTAAGGCTTTACAGAGTTTCTCTAGTTCCAGTGGGGTTACACCCCAGCACATAATCTTGAGACTTTGCAAGACTGGGCAGCGTTGGCCTAGGGTTTCGAGGAAGCCTGGATGATACACGGGTCCAGGGTTTACCATGACGAACGATATCACATTTCGTGACAGGTAAGGCAGCATGGCTATCTTAAACCAGGCAACCCCATCACTCAACTCGACATGGGAGAGCTGTCCAGCAAACTCGGCGATCCGCCCGTCCTGTTCCGGTATTGGAATAACTTCCGTTTCATACGTTGAGGGTGAGTGAGACGTAGACAGGCGCAGTTTTTTGACTTTCGGACAGACAAAGAACAGATCAGCCAAGTTATCGACATAAGCTTGGCTGAATACGTCCTCCGGGGAAGCCTTCGTAGGAAAGCTCAGATGGAGAGTATGTAAATTTGGACACCGTCGTGCTATGTCGATAACAAGCGTTCGAGAGTACACCTTAGCGTCCCACACAAAGTCAAGAACCTGGACAAGGTTTCCTCGACGAGAATCGACTGCCAGTGATAGTCGGAAGTGTTCTTGGCCTTGAGAGCTTTTCAGTCGTGAGCTTTCTGGAAAGGAGTAGAGATATGGTTCTGTGAGGCATTGGAGGGTCGTGGAAGTACAAGCTAGGGATGATAAAGTCTTGGCCCGGATTGCTACTTGATCGTTGTCGCATTCATCAAAGTGCAGCACAATATGTTCAACGATCATTTGATATATCTCTGTTGGAAGCCTGGAGGTTGGGAAGTCTGAGGACCTGTCTCGCGACCTCGTTGACATGGAGACCTGGCGGGAAATGTCAACCGCGGCTTCAGCATGACCGTCTGTCATCTTGCCTTCTGGCTTTTGTTCTGAGACTCCGAGTAGAGGGTAAGCCATAGCACGTGATTTGCAATGGTAGGTTTTACTGTCTGTATTCATTGTAAGCTGATTATGCTGAGGAAGTCTATTGCCTGAAACCTACTTCTCTGTTGAAGGATGATGTCGGTGCCTCTTGTCATACAAGGATGTGTCACAAAGCTTCGTGATCTCGTCTCGCAAACCTGAAAATGTTTTCTTTTAGGCCTTTTTGACTGGAAGGATGGGCAGAGGTAGCATTTATATGGAAAGCGAAACAAATTATGCATTTTAGATAAGCACTGAGATGCATCTCTATTGGTCATAGAAATGGGTGCAGATGAAGGTTTGGCGCAAGATGAAAGCTTATACCAATAAGCTTTGAGATGGCATCTTACTTTCAATTAAAGGCTTTGAACTCAGTTGAATTGCAAATATTTGGCCAGTAAGCACGCCTTGTCGCATTCAACACCAATCACCTACTGTCAGGGGCCGCGTTGCGTTGTAGATAAAAACTCGACTACCATAAGTGAGTTTTCGACTGCGCATGAGAAATCAAATTGGCTTCTCTTTGAATAGGATTATGCAAAAGACTCTGTTTTTATCAAAGATAAATCTGGGGTTTTTACTCTATAGACAGTGCCAAGCACACAATTACTTTGACGTACGTGGGAGCCATCGCGAGTCCAGTCCGCCCGAACGGGTAGCAAAAATAACCGAAAACATTGAAGTATTCTAATCTTTCCGGCGTTCTCTACTGCTGAGACTGATATTCCTGTGAATCATGGGCGTTGCAGGTTCTTCTCAAAGACCTCTCTCTAAGTGTTCTTCACATTACATTTCCGCAGCGGCAGTTCTGGGCCACCAATCCATTATCCTTCACAATAACATCAGATGTTATTGCTTTGAGAACATTTTGAAGAAATTTAATACTCATGCCTATAAAACTGCTATTGCGACCCTTTTTAATTAATGCATCAATATATGTAAGACTACTACTACATGTGAAAACATTATTAATCCTAATCATCAGGAATAAACCCCCAGCTACCACATTTTGGGTAGGACCAGTCTGAATCCCTATGTCGATCGATCTCTCTGCCATAATGGTTAACGCAAATTTGAAGTTTAGGGCATGCTGCCTGTAAATTTTCCCGTTCTTCATCAGTCAGAAGCCGATCGACCTCCAAATTGAGGAACTCCAACTTTTTTGCCTTTTTTATAGCCTCCAAAACGCGAATATTGAGATCATACTGGCCGGTGATACTGATGCTCTCTAAAGTATCAGCTCGAGAGGTAATCATGTCGCATATATCTATCTCTACTTCAAGCGAGTGAATAGGGTCCCACCGGCGGTGGCTCACTCCTTTATAATGCATGAGTCGTGGTGGACTCAAGCGCGCCAGAGCTTGGATTGATGGCCAGACATCATATAGGTGTGCCAGATAAACCTCTTCGACTACCGGCAATTGCTCCAGGAGTTGAGGGATAGCAGCAGCTTTCGTCGTCGTGAGCCAGTTGAGGTGAAGAGTCCTTAAAGTCTTTCCCCATACATGGGATGCGTCTAGCAGACTCCCCAGATCCAGATGTCCAAGAGAGTCAATCTTGAGTCGTTGAAGTGAGGGACATCGCTTGGAGATCAAAATTATATCGGATGGTTCCGAACGCGAAAGTCCTTCGACGTGCGTGAGCTGTTTCCAAAACTTCAAGAATCCCTTGTTGTTTTTATACGCCCGACTGACTTTGGAGTCAGAAGTCCTTGCATTAAGACTAAACCTCGTGACATTTGGGCAGTCAGAGAAGAGCTTTCTCAAAAATTCCAGGTGGGAGCTAGAAATCCCCTTGTTGGTCTCAACTATCTCCAAGTGCCTGAGGTTCGGACATAGTTTGGCAATCTCAAGCCAAAGGGAACTGCTATACAGGCACTTGACATTCATAGATAGTGACTGGATGAGAGGTCCCCGGCGTGGCTCAATGATCAAAGAGAACCGAAACATCAAGATGGATGGAGTCTCATCAAACATCCAACTTCGTGGGTGTTTGTACAAGTACTTCTCGAGAATTTCTTGAAATAGCCGACAGGAACAGGTCAAGGATAGCAAAGTCTTTGCTCGCAATCGTTTGCTCTGCGGACAACTGGGATAATCGCCAACAATATGATCGAAAATCACATAGTAAATCTCGGCGGGGAGATTGTAAACCCAACTTGTTTGTTGCCGTGATTCTGCTGAGTTGTGTGCTATGAGTGGCGTTGGGAATTTGTGGCGCGACCAGCTGTCAAAATACAGATCTGTAGCGACTTGAGCTCGACGCTGTGCCTCAGGGTCATCAGGACTTTGCTTTGCAATGATTCTTAGCGCCCGAATACTTTGTTGCAGTTTGCTCTCGGGCGGAATCTTTGGCAGCTTGCTCTTCTCTGGCGGAGTCTTTGGTGTCTTTTTCTTCTTAGGCCTGGAGGCTGAAGCCTCTTTTGACCCCTCAACCTTATCAACGCCCGCCTCTGGCCAACTCTTTGGTGCTTTGTTCTTCTTCATGGCGATTTGGTATTAGGATCAGTTCGGTGCGGATTTGTTTGCGAGTCAAAGGTTTGCGTAGAAGTTACGTTGCTCAAGCTTGGGTCTGAGGTATAAGGTCTCAAGGGTAGAGAGATAGCAGAAGACATGTTGCTTTATGTATGTATTTTTAGATTTGACAAGGAATTGATCTGCATTTCGAAATTAAGACTAAAAGGGGGCCTTGCGAAGTCTCATCAGAGGTGCACGCATGCCAACGAATCAGCTGGAATGTTTCCACACAGGACATGAACTCTGTCTTTACTTTGCCAGTGACCGCCAGAAAATCGAAGTCCCAGGCCAGCATACTTCGAGAAATTTCTGTTGCCTAAATCTTGTAACAGTAAAAGAATTGGGTCTTCTTCGATGAGGTCGATAGAATTGGCCTAGATAATACAATATTTTGGAGTTGCCGCGACTTTTACCATCACATTACCCACGTACACTAAGGGTTTCTTACACATTTACAGACGCCACGAGAACAAAAATAAACAAACGATGCTATATTAGGAGACCTTCTGTTATCTCTAGTTCCTGATTTAAAATGCGAAGATAATGGTATATGAGTCTCCACCGCTGACCTTCGCCGCTGATTGAAGCTCTCCCCCACAAGTCTCAACTGCAAATCAGCATCTGAACCATTATCTTTGATTACCGAGGTCGAGGGTGATTTCCCTAGAACCAATTCCAATCTATGGTCTGCGATGGCTTTTTCTCTGTTGTTATTAGGCATGGACGGTGGCTTCATGTCCGGTATTTGTCCGGAAGATGGTTGATACTTCATATACTGCACAGTCTCTCAGATTTCTGCCGCTACCTATCATATATAGTATGAACATGTAGTTAGATACTTGTAAGAATAAACTTGTAATATAAGACAAAGGTTTGCACATGTATACTGGAATATGATCTTCTCACTGTTCCAGCTACTCTCAACCGCCTCTAAATCGTCCTCCTTGTACTCCATAGTCGTCAAGGTGCACGCAGTCAAGAACTCCCTAACCACGATTAATCCTGTTTCTGACTGTCGAAACTTCGGACAAGCGGTCAGAAGACCTTCAATCTCATCTTCGGTAGGTGTGTAATGCAATGGTACCCGAAGGTTCTCCAAATTCTTTGCCTTGTGGAGGTGCTCGAAAAGATCCGTGCCAAAGTCCCAAAAGCCGAGTTCTTCATCTATGATGAAGCTATTGAGGGTCTCGGAATGCGCAAGAAAGATGTCGATGATTGCCTGATTGACGGTTTCTGAATTCGCAAAGAAATCCCAGAATATCGTATCATTAACTCGCCATTGGAATGATTTTAGGCGTGGAGCGCCCGGCTGAGCTATGGCATGGAGATCTGAAAGCTGGAAACCAGGTTGCGAACCCAAATAAAGATTCTCCAATTTTGTAAGATGGGGCAGTAGATGTGCAAGAAGTCCGTCGGTATACCTGGTTATGGGAGGATTTATAGCAAGAGACCGTAATGTTTTCCCCCATACTTTGAATCCCATATTCAGGTCTCGCAAGTTGGCTTCTTCGAACCAGTATAATTCCAGTCTTTCTAAACTGGGAATGTGAGAAGATAGCACCTCAAAAAAGTTGCACTCCCTTGGATAGTTATCCACGTTAATAGTGAAAGACCTCAGATTTGGGTAATCATACATAAGAATTTTCCGGATGCAGTCGATTGAACCACAGATTTCCAAGTGGCAAAGCTGTTTCGCAAATTTTGCGTATTGCTGCGAAAACCTTGCCACTTGCTCAAGAGTCCCGGGCCAAAACCCATCATTGATATACCAGAGTCCACCATATGTGAACTCAGTAACATTGGGACAAGCAGCAACTAAGTTTCCCAATCGTTCTGAAAAATTTTTGGGAGTCGAGTACTGCCAAACCAGTTCAAGGTGAGTGAGGTTGGTACAGAGCCTAAGGATCTCTAGCCATGCTTCGTACTGGAAATAAGGTGACCAGGATTCGCATCTCAGTGACCGGATGGTATGGGCTCTGCGAGGCTCCACACTCAGAGCGAAGTAAAGAAGCCATTGTGATCCGATATCTGTCGATAGTCGTTGGGATCTCAGGTTCGTATACAGGTACCTCTCGCAAAGTATCTGGATGGTTCTACAGGTAGATGCCAGAGATGTTAAAGTATGGGCCCGTACTTCCATCTCCCCCGGGGACTTCCCATCCCTATCGTTGACGAGGCAGTTGATTATCATGGTATAGATCTCCGTAGGCAACCGAGACACCATACCCGTTTGTGATCCAGTAAGACAATTCGATTCCCTTCTTTTGGTCGCACGTTCCCGGAGGGCCAGTTCGGCGAAGCGAAATTTGCGACACATGTCAATACCTGCTAGTGCTCTTCTCTGTGCGTCATGGTCGTAGCATCTTTGTTCTGATATAGTGCATAGGGTGTTTGTGAGTGTAGTCAAACTCTTTGCAATTGGTGTTTTCTGGGTATTAACCCTGTGAAGAAGCATGGAGATGGGCATTTTATCCTGCAATTAGACTTGTAAAAAAGAAATTTGTCTATAGTCCAAGTTCTTGGTGGATTTTCAACATATATTTATAATATCAGTCTGGTCTATCGAACAACTTTGTAGTGTAGAAAGTTTCACTATATTTGAGTTATTTTTCGAGGTCGCCGGAAGACTCTCAGAGAACCAATCAACGGTATGAATAATGCTGGACAACAATCTTGTTCAGCGACTGTGTTCACAGCCTAGCGCTTAACATTATGGGCAGCAGGCAACTACATAGCTGAATAGCAATGCTTGTATTCGTTTGCTTTGGAACACCGAAGTCTGTCAGCTCCCAGGTGTCAATACAGATGAACGTAACTACGAATTACGCATAGGTAGCAAGTCTAGGGAGAACTTGCTTCGTTTATGGGTATATGTTTCCGAGTTAATATAATATGGCGATAATCAGACGTCAAGGGTAGTTGTGCTAATAGAAAATCGAGAACTGCAAGAAAGGATTAGCCGAACCTAGAACGTGTTCAAGACAAGCTCCCTTACCAATGGTCTTTAGCCAAGAGTGGAGTGTTCAAGAGCCGACAGCAGAAACAGTCCATCAAAAGGTCTTTGAGGATTGCCTTTGTTCTTTGCCGTTGTGTACTGGGGCCGAAGCTTCTTTCGACCTCTCAACCTTATCACGAGTAACTTCTCAAAGCCTCCAATCACAGGTCTTATCCTAATCTTGCTCGCACTACCCCATTTCTCACTTCAGCCACAGTTGAGTTTTCAATCATAATCGTACATCTTTTCGGAAAAACACCCAGGGCGCTCTGCCTCTGCCTCTGCCTTTGCGTGAGGTTCCTGCAGATGACGTGCCCGAACCCCACATCACGACATGTCGCGCCATGTGAGTCGACCAGGGTCGTGATGAATGAGAGCGTCAAAACAGTCCTGCATTCGTCATTTCTAATCAATATTGCAATTAGTAAATCTGACTAATGTCTCTAATTCTCTCAGCTCCCGCCTCACCGCTATATTCCGGGAACGGCTCGTCGGCATACGATATTCGACGGAGTAATCGCACAATTCCATATTACAAATGCGCGATTAATAGATCATAGTATATGTATGAATGCTGCGATATCCTTAACAGTAACATAACTACCCCATATCAATCAATCAATCTCTGTTTCACTACTTGAGTCAGCCACATCGAGTTACCAATTCACACCGTCAAAATGCCTACCTCTCTATACGACCTCATCATCCCCACCTTCATCAAGGGTCTCCAAACCTTTGACCATGTCCTCACAAAAGCCGAGCAATACGCCAAAGAAAAGGGGCTCGACGCCGATGAAGTCTTTCCCCAAGCCAGGCTCGTAGACGACCAACTTCCCCTCGTCTTCCAAGTGCAAACTGCCACCAAAGCTGTTCAGACCACCATTGGCCGTCTAACAGGCGTTGAGCCCACATTTTTCGAGGACAATGAAAAGACCATTGCCGACCTGCACGCCCGAATCCAAAAGGCTCTCGAGGCTGTAAAGAGCGTGAAGCCTGAGGACGTCAACTCGCGAGAGGATGTCAAGGTGGATCTGTAAGTTTCGCCACAAAAGTGTATACTGCGACATTCCACTGACTCTTGAAAGCCCCCGGCCTGACAGGATCCTCCATCTCACCGTCAAGGAGGCTACACTCTACCACGGCCAGACAAACTTCTTTTTCCACATCGTCACTGGCTACTCCATTTTACGTGCACAGGGCGTACCTATTGGAAAGGCCGATTATCTCGGAAGCTTTCTTGCGCAGTAAGTGGAGCAGGTAGAACTAAGAATAATCAAATGATCAAATGGCTTTCCACGTGGCATCCTCATGCTTATGAGGTTTTGAATACCTGGAACAGTGACAAGTACATTTCTTGGCCCAAACTCTGAACGTGAAAAGATCATGAAACCAAAAGTTGAAGACTCCCGAGTTGGTCTGTCATGGAGCTCCCTGTGCCAACAAGCCATTGCACAACTAATAGCCTCTGAGAAGTTCAAGAAGTAAGTCTTTCACAGAATTCTGGTCCCTCGCCATTCATTGTCATGTAAAATGTTTTTGGCCACCAGTAACGCAAACGACACAAGCTTGCGCCCTCTCGGGCGCCGCCGTGCTTCTATTACGCTACGAAGGATCATCATTGAACATGGGGTAAATTTTCTTACCATCCTTAAATTTCGCGTTATTTCTTAAGGTTAATTTCGCTCTTCGTGATGAAACCCAATTGTCCTCCGAGGCATCCTGATGCCCAGCCCAGACCCCATTCTACACTTCGTCCGCTTTTCGCCGCCGATATGAGGCTAATACCATTTTCATGGCCATTCTTGGCCTCGCTGTACCGTCACTGACATTGGATTACCATAAAACCAGTGCAAATTCGACACTGGAAAGGGCGATCGCTGCCATTGGTAAGGAAGGGCTCTCAAAACTGCGGCACGTAACATACGAATGCCGAAGGTGAATCACCCCACCCAAATATGCTGTAACTAAGCTTATGATATTAGAATCTACCGCTCTCGAAGTCTTATGCAAAGCTACAATCTCATGCGTGCAGATGTATCAGCAGCAACATCGGGAACACAAAGCATCTCCTATGAAGTAGACTATCCATTGCTGCGTCAGCGAATCGACCGCCGTATACAGCCTTCACGTGAGTGTAGCAAACATGTTTTTTTTGGCAGCAACTGACAACTTAGACTCGTGGGGATGGGCATCTCGTCAGTTGGAGCCCTATAATTCTCTCTTATGGTTTGGACTGGTGATGGTGACTCTGCTTGCTTTGTTAAGGGGAACCAAGTCTTCCTTCCCCGGAACGTTACATCTGGCTGTGTAGATCGTATGATTGATATCTTACATTTAGGCCGAATGCTTGCTAACTTACGTAGCTGCATTGGCTGGCAACCTTGCTACCGAGGCTCTCATGAGGTCCCCTGGTCTTGTTGAGCGAGTAAGTCAAGTCGACGTTCGTACCGTCAAGTATGATGTTGACAGTTCAAGATTCGACAGTCTAAAAGTTCCGAAGAACGCGAGGTTGATATAAACGGCATCACATTTCCCGCGGGTATGTTTTGAGACTTATGACCGGTCATTTTGCTAAAAGCATATAGTCTATAGCAATCTCGACAAGCTCATGCTTATCGTCGATTCGGAGACATACCTACCATATATCGCCCGTTCAGAAGAACAACATCCAATCTACGGGAACGCTACAAAAGATGTATACCTCTCAAACTACAAAGAGGTCCAGGGAATTAAGTTCCCCCATACTATTCAAACTATTTACAGCGCATCTAGCCGACGACTCAACGTGGTTCTCGAAGACTTTGTCATTGACAAGATCAACGCCACGGCGAAGTTCAGCGACAACTTCTTCGATCTCGTTCCTCACGGTCAGAAAGCAAAGATATCTGAAAAGCCTCCTGGTGTTCCCAGTGGTCTTGTCACAGATTACAGCACAAGTTTCCTCGGGTCACCAGTCAAGAATGTCAGCGTTGATGCTTTAAAGGCACTTAGCCCTATTGATCTTCTGCAGGTGCATTGGCTTATCGTCGATGATAGCCGTCCTCTTGGGTTTAAGCAGGTTATTATTGAGTTTGAGACTGAAGTTATTGTGTGTGATGCACCGCTCTTTTGGAGTGAGGCTGTCATGGAATGGATTAAGAATAATATCGGCAAGAAGGTTGCCTATGTCGCGGTGCGTATATCATAGCAAGGGTTGGTCGTTGACTAATAATCTAGCCTTTCACATCATCATCGAGATCATAGTGGTGGCGTAGCCGATTACGTCCGTGCTGGTGCCAAGTTGATCATCCCCGAGATGGCAGTGGATTACTGGTCAAGCGTTCCAGGAGCCCAATTCATCACTTTCAAGTATGTTCAACCTCTGTTACAGTATTCCGCTGATAAGCCTTAGTCAAACACACCCTTACGTTCATCGCGACGATAAGGTCCAAGCATGGTTCAACTGGGCTGATCAGGCGCCTCATGCAGCTGACTGGACTTATGTGATGGTTACAAAGCGATGTCCTAATAAGGACTCTAATATCTTTGTCTACGAGGCTGATACTTGGGAAGCTGGACTTAGTGCTGACTTGGGTAACCAGCAGCAGATGAGGCAGTGGTTGGATCAGCTTTTGGATGACGGTCTGCCAAGATCTGCAACGTGAGTAACCGTCATTGCAAATGGATTTGGCTAACTTCTTGTAGTGTGATGCCTATGCATGGAATGATTACTCAGTTGGAACAACTGATCAATATCACGGCTTATCCATATCCTAATTTCGACATTAGTCGCTGGAGGAGGAAGGGTGCCGCGTTGTGTGATAAAAACTCCGCAAAGAATGGTAAGGACGATCAGTGACCCGAGTTCCGTGTCAGCTAGTTGCTATAGCCGATCGTACATTATTGCTGGTCTTTCTGGCGATAACATTCTGTTCGTTTGAGCGTGACTCTTCCTCAAACTCTCCCAAAAACACCAACAAATATCCTATGCTTCAACCTTGGCTTCGGCTCGTGCAGTAAACACCATATCCAGCCTTGGCAGTTCCAGAGTGTAACAATCTCTTAGGCCGTCGATGAAAGCCTGAGGATTGGTCCCTGGTGCGAGGGCAATATTGTATCGCGAGAGAATATCCATGAGGACATAGCGCATCTCCATAAGACCAAGTTGCTTTCCAGCACAAACGCCACGACCTATCTTGTCAGCTTCTTTCTACCGTTCGGAGAATAGCAGACTTGCCAGTTGAGAATGGTGCGTAGACTGAAGCGTCTTTGATCAGCTCCGGTCTGGTAGTCCATCGCTCAGGAATAAACTCGTTTGGCTTCTCAAAGCAACGTTTATCTATGTCCAATTAGCAAGAATTCATATAAACTTATCATCAAGCATACCTCTATACATTGTGTAAGAAGGATTGTGTATAATTGTATCTCCAGGTATGTAGACATCGTCAAGCTGCAGCCCTTCCGGAGGAGTCATCCTTGGCACACCTGAAGGAACAACAGGATAAAGACGAAGAGACTCATCGATACATGCTTGGAGATACTGTAGCTTGCTCAAGGAAACTAGGTCATATTCATCGTGGGTGCTCTTGTATTCGTCGATCTCAGCCTGGAGCTTTGCCAGTACATGAGGGTGGAGTACGAGATGGTGCAAGAGACAGGTCGTGGAAGAGGAAGTCGTATCACTGAGACATTAGCGTAATACTGAGATGTTCTAGCATAGCCTTACCTGCCGGCGATGATAATGAGATGAGCATCACCACAAAGATTATCGAAGTCCTGCTGAGTAGGCTTCTCAATCGCATCGTAATCCTCCAGAATACTACTAAAAACATCTGGTTCCGCCGGTGGGTTCTACGCCGGTTAGTCAAGTATTGTCCTCTTCTTGGAATACATACCTTTCGTCGACTCTCGACTTGATTCCTGACATAGGCCTGAAAAGCCAAGTATGACTTGTTCACGATTGGGATGGATGAAACAAGAGGGAAGAACCAGATCATTCGTCGGAATGCGCCCATGAAACCTTGGGTTTTGTGGGACTCAGTGAAGAAGTGGTGCTCGACGCCCCTTTCAAGCAAGTCGAAGCTTTTCCCGAAGGAAAGATCACCCATGATGTCAAAGGTGTAAAAGTTTACCCACAGGGCGATATTGAATGGCTTACCCTTCGCTTCATCAATGCGGTCAGTGAGAAGTTTGGTGTATTTGAGCACTCGGTGCTCATAATCGCGCAAGGCTGCTCATCGTAAGCGTTCATCTCCTGAGGCTAGGGGAATGGCTCGGTACCTTTTGTAGTGAACGCTCTATCCCATGCTTTACGGCGGATGGCATGTTCTTTCTTTCGTCGCTCAGAGAGAAGCATTACCCATGGATGGGTGATGCCATAGAAAGGCGATTTGACGACCGGGGATGAGGGAGCGTGAATGGGCCGGAATGAACTTGGTGTTGCGATCGATATCTCGGTAGGTCCTGAGAATAATTAGCCGAGAGTATATTAATAGCGTAAGTCAACTTGCCAATTCTCACGATGTCTCCATACTTCTCATGAAGCTTTTGGACTTCAAGGTACATATGCTCTTCATCTACCGCTAGATAAGTAGCGTAGACCGTTGAGAGACGAGCAATAAATGGACCCGGGAAATGGTTCAGTCGGTGAAAGAATGCTCTATATGATAGGATACTGATTGTGAGCCCAGCAGCAAATGATGCGAACCATTTGTTGGTGACTGATAAAGCTTGCCAGACTGAAAATGAGTAGAGTTGGGTGAGAAACAACGAGACAGTGACCTCATACGTTGCCCATGTCTTGATAAACTTGACAGTCCAAAGGTCCCATTCTCCTTTTCGTAGAACAAAGATATGCACGAACACTCCAAGGATGAATGCGGCGCCAAAGGCCTGCGGAGTCTCAAGATGAGCTTCAGTCAACAGCATACTGACGGTTAGCGGATTGCGCAAAGCAGGATACGAGAGAAGAAACCCGCTTCAATTTCCGAGACATGGCCAGCTTCTTGTATCCAACCTTCTCCCAACAAACCAAGGCCTAATGACGAAACAGGTTGCAGGAACTTTTGGGGGCCGATATGCGTTATAGGTTGTTGTCAAAAAGTGGGTTGCAGCGAGTGCCTTGGCGAATTACCAACCAGCGAATGCGCTTATTCAACGTCTGTATTAGTCCTTTGTAGGCTCTATGCAGCGCGCTCGGCATTATCTCTTGGCTAAATTACATCAGTCCAGGCTTTTCCGGCTGGATGATGTGATGGTCTTGTGCAGGATAAATGATATCATTGGCTTTTCATTGGGTTGCAGATGGACACGCTTCGTGGCTCTATGCAGATACAGCGGCCGCTGGATGCTGTAAATGGGCTTGCATCCGAGACATTTTTATGTGTGCATTTACGTATCTGGATAGATCATCCATCGAAAGAAGACAGAGGGAGAAGAGACAAGATCGACCTTCCGATGCACTTCATAAGACTGCTTGTTCGGCAATGGATGTCCTTTATTATCAATCTCCAGGAGTGGATACTGTGAAGGATTTCATGTGAAGACAGTGAAGATGCATGAAGGCGGCGTATAAGGCCTCCCGACACCAGAGACGCGTTCAGCGAGTACGTTCCGTTCAGATCATTTCCTGATCCAGCGTTACAAAATACAAACACCCTTTGCCATTCGAAAGCCTGCTTTTGATTATATATAGCACACGTAATTGGCTCCCGCTTTCGCTGCGGACGATCGGATATGGTCTGCTCCGTCGCATATCATGATTTAATATTGGGTCGCATTAGATTGTGTTCACTCATACGACCAACTCGGTCTCACCAGCCAAAGTGATTCCGATATTGAATAGGTTTTATGCAGGGAAACTAATCCTTTTATGACTGACCCAAGCTGCAACAGAAGATGAAATAAGGTGCTGATACCTCACTACGATTATTTGTATGTCAGGGCCTGCGAATCACGGCAGTAAACCACTGCTTAGCGCCGGCCCTGGTTATCAGCACTGTTGCACACCCAAATGTTCCCGCGGGGAAGCTCCCCGGGCAGACTTTTATCCTTGGAGCCCAGAATCGTAGGTGCAGTCTTGCAGATCAACTGGCGGCAGTGATCAACGATTGTAGAAAACCCTTGGTGTAAATGAGACCGCGGCTTAAAACTTCGCCTATGATTGATTGATCACGAATTGAGTTTCACTTCATTAAGCGAAGTCGATAGCTTGGCATCGTAACTAACCAAAAGCCGTTTAGACATGAGTCCACTTTGAGATAGCGATTTATGATCGCCACGGAGCATCACGGCTCAACCTCCGATCCAAAGAGGGGTTCGATATCACAGAACCTTGGTGACCAATTGACAGAGGGAACTCGTGCCCAACAAGTGTCATTATAATCATCAAAAAGCCACGACAAATATTTTTTCTTCAAAGTAATAGTCTAGACTCTCCAACTATTGACCATTTCGTATCTTTCGCAAACGTTGAAAGCCATCGGGTTCCCCTCCGATATGAGCTAAACCTCACTCACCCAAGAACTCCGTCTTTCTGCGGATCCCAGAGCCATTACGGGCCCTAAACCCCGGATTTTCCTCCATCGGCGATGGCACCTTTAAATCTGGTCCCGAAAGCTCGGCGTCCAAACGGCGAGGCTTTTTTTCAAGACGAATGATGACCTTTCCCCCTCTTGTTTATGGTTCCCCGCTCGTAAAACGGCCGAGGCAGAGATAAGAACAACTTCTCCTCTTTTCATCTCGTCATTGTCCTGGGCTGTTCGAGCAGTTTGGATGACCAAGATGATCTCGCGACCTTTGTAAACGTACCGTAGGCAATAGAGACGGACTCGGCGTCATGGCCGGGCTGCAGCTCGATATCTATGCAGCCATCAGCATCACTTGGGTCGCGGCCTTTCTGGCCCTCAGTCTGCGGCTCAAGGCGCGACGAATGACGAAAATGAGCCTTTGGTTCGATGATTACTTCGCCATAATTGCCTTGGTAGGATTGGCTCTATCACTGCTGAAGATCAATGCGCACGTACTAAAAGTACATTCCAGCTCTTTGTGACAAGTTACTGTTCCGTCACGATATACTGTACGATACCCTCCAATCCGACCGCAGTCGCTTACCTAGTCTAGGGACGCATAGCTACAAACTCGGCCAATCCATCCTCACGATCGCAGACCTAACCGAAGCGAACCGTATCCAAGACCGATCGCGACTTTTACTCTGGATCTGCGAACTTCTGTACGCCTCGTCGATTGCGTTCTGCAAACTCAGCATTCTCTGTTTTTACTGGCGCGTCTTTCAGTACACCTCAATTCGTTACGCCATCATCATCTTGCTTGTCGCCGTCAGCATATGGATCACTATTCGGACTTTCATGGTCCTCTTTCACTGCGTGCCGATAAGAGCATATTGGGATAAGAGCATACAAGGCGCCAAATGCCCGTTTAACGAAGCGAATTTCTTCTTTGCTACGATTCTTGTACACACGACTATGGACTGCGTTATCTTGATCTTACCCGTCATCGAAGTTATGAAGATGACACTACCTTTATCGCAAAAACTGGCCGTTGTTGGGCTTTTTACATCTGGAACCATGTACGTTGAGCTTCTTTTGGTAATTTGCTGGTCTAACCATGAGTAGAGTATGCGTCGCGTCGATATTCGTTTTGGTGTATTCCAAGTTATATAACCCTCGAACGGACGATATTCCAAAAGACATGGCACAGAGCATGATGTGGGCAGCCGTCGAAATAAATATGGCAGTTTTCTCCGGTAAAAACTGGCCTCCCTGGCCACTCCATCGAGCTCCCTTGCTGACAGATGTTGCAGCTTGTCTCCCCATGCTACGACCCATTTTTCGTCACTTTCTTCCAGGACTCTCGACAACAGAACAGTCAGCACAAGCACGGATCAGTTTACCAAATGTTGTCCTACCTGGAGTAAGGCTCACTGAAACGAGGTCAAAGAAGCGGGAGTCTCGAAGGTCAGGCATGTCTAACGGGCTGTATGACCCGGAGTTGGGTGTTTTTCATGGATTTTCGGATATATCAAGCATCAGGAGCGTGGCGTCTAGATCAGATAGCGAATCCACGCCGAGGAGCACATAATATTAATATTATATTCATACTTAAAGCTTTGTATTTGTTCCATAATAAGTTGTTCTGGGTCAACCAGAGCCAGAGTCCACTGACTATCGGCTCGAAGACTTCGCCTGTACCATTATGACTACATATTTGAATTCTCGTAGAATGTCAATTCTAGGCACTGGTTTATACGATCCTAGGCAGAGTTGATATAGTAGTTCATGTCGAATGAGAACCAAAAGCCGAGGACAATGGCTGTCTTTTGAGAAACGGGACCGAGGTTTGCCTAAGCTGTATGCGGTTTCCTTTGAGCACAGTATATCCTTGCAGTATTTATGGTTCGTCAGCTGCTTCTCGCGCTCATCACGCTCGCGTCTTGGGGATCTTATCAATGTTCCGACCCTCCACTAGGCTCAGGCCATACTTTGCCTTGCAGAGAGTACCAAGCATCCATTGGTGTCCATGCTCCTCAGTGGTGCCGGTCAATGCGAGGACCAGTCTGAAATCTAAGTCCTTGATATGATGTTCAGTGATGCCCTCCTGTGTCTTGACGGACTTGATGGCGCAATACAGGTCGATGTTTGCTAGACTCGGTACTCTGTTCGTCCGGGAGAGACTTCAACCATTGAGGTTCCGTGTTCGATCAGGAGAAGGTTGCGCAATGATGTTCAGATATGGTATGCAGCCTTCTCTCGTTTTCCAACTGCTTCAACATCATTATTTATCGTAGATTTTGTGCCGGCATCCCCTTATATTGGGCCCGACTCGTCAGATCTGTCGTCGCCAACAGTCCGCCGGTAAGGATCCGGGTCGTCGTCGCCGCTCCTCCCATCGGTCATGAGACCTTTGCACTCGTGTGCTGATTTGGTGCCATAGCTTCGTAGGTCTCAAAACGGTTGTGCAGTCGAAGGTACCAAGGTTCGTCCAACTTTCATAGTTCCGTAAGCTGGTGAGAATATGAGGGCGTAAATGTGGATGACAAGGCCAGTAAGTACAAGAAGTACCATAGCAAGAATGACACCTCTTTGTCGGCTGAGGCGATCGAAAGTAATAACGTCCATCCTGAATATCCAGTGCAGTGACAGTATGATCTGGTTGATCGTCGGTTCTAGTGGATACAATACACAGGACAAAAGAACGGTTGGCTGACGAATTTCTTGGGGCCAAGACAACCTTTTGTAAGAATTGGGAAATTGGGTTTGGGCTTACTGTCTCCATTTCGCGTCATTTCCAATAGCGGCACAGCCCAGAGCGACCACCGAGATGTTGGTTGGTTGCGATGTGGAGTCATGGAGGATCCTTTAGTGAGGCTAATTGGGTTTATCGTAAGTCTGAGACAGGGATCTCTGATGACATTGGTCAGACGGGACCAGCACTCGAACCGTCCATCCGACGCGTACTAACAGTACAATTCTCCGACAAACTGTCCATCATGGTTAATTATTAATGTAACCATAAAGTCAATCACTCGAATCTTCAGGACTATGATCTACATAGAGTACGGCGCATGGTGATGTTATGTTCAAGGTTCTGAAACAGCCGTGACGAGTCCAACTCTTCAATGTCCCTGGTAAGCAGGACCAACGTCAGATGACACTGATGACAACATCAGTCCGAGCGTGCATCTTGCGCAGTCCCAACTGCAGCTGAATGTCCCGTCTACCAGAAGTCATGTCAGCGCCAATGGACCTATCCCTTGTAACCGCATGCGGCACAGCCTTTGAATGGACGTCGCCCATCTTCTCTGCTTACTTCCATCAAGACGACGTTGCATCAATGGAGGGCTTTACTTGGCAATTGGGCTCAGCGAGGAACCGAAGAGGAACATTTTACGTGCCCCTGCATTTGACTCC